AAACCAGGAGCCACAAGGGAGAGAGGGAGTTACTGCAGCTCTGAGGGAGAGATGGACAGGCTGACAAGCTAAGTGCCTGGGATGATGTGAACAAGGAGGAACACAAAATGAATAAAACAGGCTCAAGTGGGGTCACCTCAAGAATTTGCATGTGCATGAGGAAGACTCTTCAAAGTGCCTGCATACTAAGGCACACAACGTAGGACATAAACATGAGAAATTGGTGGTCTGTGTGCAGCTTCAGGGGTAGGATTTTGTTGGGATTCCAGAGATGCAGTGGATGGACTGGAGTGCTGCAATGGAGGAACACAGATAGGAAGAAAAGGGGAGAGCAACTACTACCAAGTGCATGAGGACGAATGATGAGAGCTTATAGGTAAGGGTTAAAGAGCAGACTTACAGTGGTGACTTGGTAGCAGGTGTCTTCTATGGGCTACCTGACCAAGAAGAACAAGCAGATGAGACCCTAAGAAGCAGCCTCCTGTTTCCAGACCCTGATCCTCATGGGGACTTCAATCCCCTGATACCTCCTGGAGGAGCAAGGCATAAGCAATCCAGCAGGTTACTTAAGAACAGTAATGATAACTTCTTGACACACAGCAGTCAAGGAGGAGAGGTGTTCTACTGGAGCTCTAACACACAAGTGAGAAAGACCTCATTGGAATGAAGGTCAAATGAAGCCTTGATTGTTGTGACGAGATGGTGGAGTTCAGGAACCTGAGAAGACAGAGCAAGGCAAAAAGCAAGTTCACAACCCTAGACTTCAGGAGAACAGACTGTAAATTCTTCATGAATCTGCATGGAAAAGTCCCCTGATAAAGGGCTCTGGAGGGAAGAGGGGTCCAGAAAACCTGGATAGTATTCAAGGATCACCTCCATTCAAGAGATACCCCAATATGCAGGAAGTCAGGCAAAAACCCCAAGAGGCCTGTGAGGTTAAGCAAGGAGCTCCTGGAAAAACTCAATCATAAAAAAGGAGTATACAGAAGGTAGAAGCAGGTAATATGGGAGGAGTGTAGAGACAGCCTGGGCATGCAGAGACATGGTTAGGAAAGCCAAAGCCCACTTAGAGTTGAACTTGGTATAGGAGCAACAAGAAGGGCTTCTGTAAGTATCTACTGAGGTGGATTGAAAACTGGCTGAATGGCCAGATCCAGAGGGTGGTCATCAGTGGTATGAAGTCTGACCAGAGGCTACTAACTAGCAGTGTACCCCAGCAGTCAATACTGGATCCAGTTCTGTTCAATATCTTCATGAATATTCTGAATGGTAGGGCAGAAGGTGCGTCAGAAAGTTTGCTGATGATACAAGCATGGGAGGAGTGGCTGGTATATCAGAACATTGTACTGCCAGTCAGGTGAACTTTGACATACTGGAGAAATGGTCTGACAGGAACATTATGAAGTTCAACAAGGGGAAGTGTGAAGTCCCACACCTGGGGAAGAATAATCCCATGCATCAGTTTTATACTGGCAGCTAACCAGCTGGAAAGCAGATTTACAAAAAAGGACCTGTAGGTCCCTGTGGACACCAAGTTGAGCATAAGCCAGCAATATGCCTTGCAACCAAAGGGACTAATCAGAACTGGTGAGGCCACAGTTGGAGCACTGGGTCATTCTGGGCTCCCAAGTACAAGAGACACTGGACATAACACAGAATTCAGTTGAAGGGCCACTAAGATTATTAAAGGACTGGAACATCTTTCATATGAGAAAAGGCTGAGAGATACAGGACTGTTCTATTTGGAGGAGGGAAGGCTCGAGGGGGGATCTGATCAGTGTGCATGAATACCCAAAGAAAGGGTGTAAAAAGGATGAAACCAGGCTCTTTTCAGTGGTGCTCAATGACAGGACCAGAGGCAATGGACACAAACTGAAGCTCAAGGGAGTTCATGTGAACATCAGGAAACATTTTTTTACTGTGAGAGTGACTGAGCACAGGCTGCCCAGAGAGGTTGTGGATTCTACCTCCTTGAAGATACTCAAAAGCCATCTGGTCATGGTCCTGGACAACTGGCTCTAGATGGCCTTTCTTGAGCAAGGGGTTGGACCAAGTCGTATCCAGAAGTCCCTTTCATCCTCAACTGTTCTGTGATTGAGAAGAAATGGATAATTGCTTTTTATATTTTCAGTTCCCATTTCTCTAGAACTTTCAAATAATCCACTGCCTGTTCACCTGGTGTGATGATCATCTGAATCACTGGTATTTCAACACTGAGCTGGAATAGAATGCTGAATTACTCTTTAAAAGTGACCACCTGCCCCACAGGATTGCTGAGATGACAAATCTATTGCTTGAATTCCTGTCATGTCCTTCCCCTTCGCATTTTCTCTGAAAAGTTTTCCCTGAGATGCTCAGAGACCATGGGAATGTTACACAGTTTATGTATGCAGTAGCTGCATACATTTTGAGTATACAAAAAGGCAACCTGGAAAAGGAGCCTGTCTTGCTGTGTAAGGATAGGTAATGCTGCTGTGTGTTTTTAGAACTGAATTGTTGCTTTACACTGCATATTTCTCTGCTTATATATCTCTTACATAAATCTGGACCAAGACTGGGTCTCACGTTTTGTAGTCAGAGCTACACCTGTGAGCAGAGCAGTGGAGGACTTTTTGTTTTCCAATTCCAATCATGCGTAGTACTAGAAATTCCAAACAGGGTGCCTGTTGTAGATGTGCTTTCAGGGGTTTAGACTGAGCTGAAAGGAATATAAGTGTTTATAGGGATCTGTGTTCTTGTAGCTGATACTACTTGGACCTCAGTTTCAGTTTGAAATCACGTTAAAATGTATGGATCACATGCTTAAAGTTATTTGATTTTTCAATAGCTTTCAATTGCTGAATCAGCAATATACTCTGAATATGTATGAACCTTAAAGACTAAGACTGGACCAGTACTAAGAATAAAGACCAATATCAGGCTGGATGGGGGTCTGAGTAACCTGTCTAGTGGAAGGTTCCGAGCTCATAGCAGGGAGGTTGGAACTAGATGATCTTTAATGTCCCTTCCAACCCAAACCATTATATGATTCTGTGTTTCTATGGATCCAGTATATTTATATTGTTATATCTATATCTATAGGTATTTATAGGTATATTCATATCTATATTAATAGATACATACATATATATAATTATTTTTGTGTGGAAGGTGAGACTGGGGAGATTGAAACACCTGATGACTCAACTGAATTCCTTAAATCTCCTACCCAAGGACTTTCATTATTTTGTCATGAAACCATAATTTTATAAAATGCTCAAAGTATCCTTTTATCCTGGGCTAGAGTTCATAACTTACTTACTTCAGAGGAAGGATAAGCAAGATTTCCACCCTGGAGAATCTTACAAGGCCTAAATTATGTCACTGATGTTGGAGAAGCTTAAGAAGAGAACTCCAGAAAAGCATTCAAAGAAGGGAGGGAAAAATGGTGGTATTTTACATTCATGTGGGGAATATGATTTTAATTGTTTTCCTTTGATATTCAGAGAATAACTATAGGAGAATCTATTGATGTCATGACTCTTACACATTCTGCAAAAATGTTCCAAATAGTAGGCTGCTTTGGAAAGATTAATCATCACATGCTAACACTACCACCTTTCAATATTTTAAAAAGGCAAAAATGCTTTGCTTTAAAAAGTGATTTATTTTTTTTTTGTACTCAGAATCCTCCTATAGTCCTGAATAAATGTGTGTAAACTGAAGATTAATAAATTGTAAGATATGCTCTTGTTAGATAACAAGGTAGCTTATGGCCTTAAACTAAGACCGGAGAATCAGATTAGATACCTGAAAAAAATTTTTTCACTGTTAGGGTGGCCAGGCATTGAAATAGGTTGCCTAGGAAAGTGGTGGAGTCAACATCCCTGGAGGTGTTCAAGAGGCATCTGGATCTGGCACTGAGTGATATGATTTAGGGTGATGTGGTTTAGGGGTTACAGTGGTAGTGCTGGGTTGGACTAGGTGACCTTGAAGGTCTCTTACAACCTTGATGATACTATGATTCTATGATTCTTCTTGGTGATTCCATTAGATTCCTTTCTGAACTCTCCCCATGCACAATCTAAGTTAGTGTGAAGACCTAGCAGACAAGAATTATGTCTATTTTTACCTCATATGGGGATTTTGAGAACTACCTGTCATTTAAAGTATTCCCAAGATGCAGCATTATGCATCTACATTGGCCTTTTAAGCAGAGCTCAGGCTGCCTGCAAATGCCATGTATGTTTGTAGCAGGCTGTATATCTATATCTATGGATAGATAGATATAAAATTGAGATGATGCAAAGCAAAACATTGCAACAAGGAAATCTTTGGCTTTGGGCCAGCTCCAGAAGTCAGCAGCTACTGTAAAATCCTTAGGCGTTTATAGAGCCAGGCCAAGAGAGGGACAAAGACCTGAGTGAGTACAGTGGCAAGATAATGCCCAAATGTTTTTTCCAAGGTGAAGTACATACATACTGTTATGGCTGTGTGAATAGCTAACTTGTGTTAAAACTAAGTTGCCAAAAAAAAAAATTTATACATTTTGAGTCATGGTTAAAACTAAATTTTAAAAGGCATCTTACCCTAGCATGTGAACATGAGGGTTTTTGTGTGCAACTTGCTGGACTCACAGTTTTTTTCAAATCTGTATTTTGTGACTTCAGTTTTTAATATTATCATTGCTGTGTCAAAAAATTTTAAACAATGAAATAATACCTCCTTTTTATTGTCAAAACTGTTCTCCTTTTAAACACAATTTCTTGTCTACTCAGAAAAAATGGATTTAATTTTTACATATTCATTGCTGAGTTCTTTATATCATCTCACCAGCACATGGTATAATTGGTATCACATTAGTTATTTAGCAAGTAAGCAGAGAATATCATTATTTGTCTGTATGCCTGGAAATGCTGAAAAGTTAGTTGTTCTACTCAAAAGTGAAAATAAAATTGGCAGTATGATAATGATATGTTTTTTATCCATACAAAAATAACTTCTTTGTTTTTATTTGATAGACTACTTGGCTTCTACAAAGGAATATTTCCTCCTGTCTTGGCTGAGACACCCAAAAGGGCGGTGAAGGTAAAAATTCCAAGCTTCCTCCTTTAAAAATATAGGTAGGGACAGTGGCTGCTGTAAAACATTTTATTTATCCCCTGCTGATTGAAATTAGAATCTTAAACTTATTTGGCATATTAATCCTCTGATTTTTACTAGGAGGAAAGTTTCCTATTGATAGTACAATAAAAACTCTCCTTGATTAAGGAGTGCAGGATAAGGATCTTAAATGCTAAGCTATTTTTGACTTGTATATCTAATGTTACAAGAAAAAATCGCAATTATTCTATATTGTCAAGAAATTAATAAAATAGTTTACGTGTTATTTTAGCCTCATAATTACCTCTGGTTTAGATATTTTCCTTTACTGAAAATGCCTAGCAACTTGCAAAACAACTAATAGCTTAATAAATTACACAAAAAGCCATTAAGGCCACTAAACAATACTCACTCAGTAACTTGAAGTAATATATCTGTAGGTGTGAAGTGCTGCCCAGAGTTTTCTTGTGCTCCAAAGAGTACTCTACTCCCTACTCTTACTTTTTAACAGATTGAAGACAGTAATGGATTCAACTCCTCATTGTGCAAGGAACATTTTACTCCATCTCTCTTACAGTTGAACTAGATGTTAGTCTACCAAAGTGTATGTTCGGTCAAATGCTGACCTGATTTTCTTTTATTATCCTTTATTTTGATTTGTTGAGCACGATTTTAGTAACATTCCCAAGCAAAATACTTCAATACATCAATTTTTTCAGTTGTCATGCAACATTTTTAATTAAAACCTAGTTATTAAACATGTCATCTCAAAGTTTTAAATCTATCAAAGCATCAACTGTGTTAAGAGCAAATGTTTCTTTGCCTTTTGCTTCAGAGCTTTGAAGTTTCCCATAGTTGCACCAAATGTGTCTAAAAGCAGTTATTATACAGAATGTCTTGATTTTTCTCTCTTTCTTTTTTGGTTTCTTTCTTAAAAGGTTGCATATGATTCTGGTCCTTAGTCTGCAATTAATCATTCACATTCCGATTCCTTTACAGAGGAATAAAATTTGTATAAAGTGACAGGATGTGACCTTGTAATAGAATCCTAAAGGAGTTCTGGTAGTATCATCTTCATGTTTGCATTGGCATCTTAGATGCAAGTGACATATGTCACCTACCTCGAAATTATTTAATAAAACTAAGAAAACCAAAGTCTTATTTAACAGCAAAGTGGCAGTGAAGGATAGATGGATGATATTTAGCAGATTCTTAATAACTTCTGTTCTTTATCCTGTAATGTTTCACCAGTCTCTCGCTTTCATTTCCTTTGACACAGGACAAAGTAAATCTGTGCTTTTTCGATTCCAGAATATGCTTAGTTAAAATACTAACCCAGGTTTGATTTCTCCTGAATCATCCAAAAATCTCAAATAGCTTTCTCTTACTCAAATTGATTAAATTAGCTTAAACTGCACAATATTCATTATATATATAATTATAGAATCGTAGAAAGATGTAGTTTGGGAGGGATCTCTGGAGGTCACCTGGGGAGCCTCCTGCTCAAAGCAGGACTGACTTCATGGTTTGATCATGTTGTTCAGATGCCTTGTCTAGTAGAGTTGTGAAAATATTCAAGGATGGAGATTGCAGCCTCTCTGTGCTCCTGCCTCAGTTCTTAGTTGCTTTCACTATGAAGAATTTTGCCTTATATGCAATCCAAATTATATACAGATTATCCTGTTGCAACTTTTACCTATTGCCTCTCATGCTTCTGTTGTCAGCCTCTGAGAAAGCCCAACTTCGTCCTCTGTGTAACCTTTAGGTGGTAGAAGAAGTAATTAGAACATAGCCTTCTTCTCTCCAGGCTAAACAGACGGTTGTCTCAACCTCTTGTACACCTTAAGCTCACAGCTCCTTTAATGTCTTACTGGTGCTCCTTTAGTGGGGTGCTTTCTACCTAATTCTTGGACATTTATGTAAGGGCTGAGTTTTCTGCAACCATGAGAATCAGGTTTAAACGAGGGGAGAGAGGGGCGTTAATTAAATAGTTGAATTCTTTAATTATTTACACTATTCCTTTAAATTTAATGCAGTTCCAAGGACATCAGGAAGGCTACAGGTTACCTTGAGCCATCAGCTGTATTCTAAACTAGAAGAATTCGGTAACATAGTATAGCAGGACAGTAATGTCCTTGTGAGAACCTGGATACTGAAGGAATTTAATGTGAGATTTTATATGCCAATACAATTTCTAACATCCAAAGTGGAGTTTGTACCCATGCTTTGACCTGAAGAGAATCCAGCCTGTCTCAAATTTCCACTAACCTTATTTGACTATGACCCCAAAGGAGAAGTCACAGCTTCCTTTAGCCCACTCTGCACCCTTTATTTTCCTAATAGCTTTCCTCATCTTAGCAGGCCTCAAGCTGTCCCTTCTCCACTGCCAAACTGACCAGTGAGATTTAGGGGAAGACTACAATCAGGCCAATGATTTTGAGACTTGAGAAATCACAAAAGGCAGAGAGGTAATTTCTAGGTTCCAGCAGCCTTGATTTGTGTTTGTAATGAACTTTTTCAAAAACTAGTTGTAGTGTCATAAGAGTGAGTAGACAATGGACAAGGGAGATTTTGTACTAAGAAGAAATATACTTGTGCTACTGGAATCTTGGATTTATCTGGTGTGTATATTTGCAAATAAAAATACAGCTACTAAAACAAAGTTATTTAGCCCCAGTTTTCCAGTTAAGTGTTGAAGATACAGCTTCATTTTTAGTAAACTCTATTCTCATGTCTGTCTTGCTGTTTCTTTTTTTCTCTCCTTTTATTTCCCTCCTAAAAAGAAAGCTGGTATTTCTGGAAGATGAAAAGTCAACGTTTATAACTTTCTGTTAGATTGAACTTGGAGCAAAGAAATGATCATGCCAATACAATGGTTAACAGATGAACTTTTGGGGCAAATTTATATTGTTCATGTGTTCCCAGACATCTTGTTTCAAGCATGTATTTTTACCTTAGAGTTATTGAGACATCTGGTAAGTACTTTGGCTATTTTCTTTGTAACTTCAATTAAAGTGTATCTTTGCCAGATGGACAATATTGGTTATTATATACACAAAAGCATGTTTTAAATGCATTTATTCTGAGAAATTTTTCCTCTTTTTTTTTCTTTTTGCACAGAGCTATTAACCCAACTGTAGACAAAAAGAGGAAATCATGCTGTGTTTTTAAAAATATTTTGGGTGGACACACATTATATAAATTTGTATGATACAGTAAGATAATTTTTGAGGGCAAAATTATATGTTTACTAGCCTACCTAGTACACACAGCAGCATTTATATTGAGTTTTATTGCTATTGATTTGTTTTCTTTTAAAAAATATGTAAAACATAGTTACTATTAAGTATTATTTAATTTATTACTCTAGGAAGCTATTAATTTTTAAAGGTAACATTTTGAAGACCAAAAAATTGCTAGGTAATGTATTTCTGCCTTTATTACAACCATTTTACAGATCTGCAATACTGTGGAAAACATTAAGGAATACCAGAAATTCCATTAAAGGTTAGGAGGGTAACAATGAGTAGAAAGATTCTGGAGAGAGAATAAAGTAAACTTTATCACAATAAGAAATCAATTTAGTTCAGTGAAGCAGCTTACCCACCCACTTTGTCAGAGACTTCTTTTTACTTATAAAATATCTTCAGTTGTCCAAAAAAGATAGACCTACAGTTGAAGTACTATCTTTTCTGATTAATGTCAAGGCCAATGCAACAATTTTAAACATATTTGCAGGATGTTTGCAAGCTAAATGTTCAATCTAAACACTATTTGGAAAGCAGTTAAAATCTGGGCCCCAATTCTAGGACTTTTCTGCAAAATTATATAATAATCTTAATAATCCCTACTGAATATATAAAAAAGTATCTATTCACTGACCAGAGTATCAACCCTTTCAGAATCTAACACTCTGATTTTGCATAATTATGCATATATATTCCCTTCTGCTTTAAATCATTGGCATTATTAACACATTAACACCCGATTCCTGGTAGTTTTAGTGTGATTCCAGTGACTTCAATTGAAGCAGGTCTTGATTGAAAAATGTTATTGACTTTGCCATAGGACAAGGTTCTAAACAAGTTAAAATGAAAATGTGGTGCTTATTATGCATGTTCCTGTACAAGTAGTTTATGGAAAAGCTGTTTTGTTCTAATCGTTCTGTGGTAACTAAACTCTGAGGGACAAAGCTTGTCTTCTTCGGCTGAGACTCAGCATAGGTCACCCAGTCTTTCTGTTTTGTCTTAAAAACTCTATTCCCTTTTATTTCTTATGATTCCCACATCTCCATTGACCTCATTGCCCATTGCCTTCTTCTTGTGGTGAAACAGTTGGATTGTTTCATGCATGGGCAGGTGCTGTACGGAGGAATCACAGCCTCCTGCATGGGCAAAAAATGCACAGACTTTCAGAGGATCCCACCTTTCTTTGAATCAACCTGCTCTGAACCAATCAAGTGTTGCAGTTCAACTTTTGAAAGTAGGCAGGAAAGTCAGAGGTTCTATTTATTTACTTCTGTTATACTGGCATGTGTCAACTCTTGCACTAATGCAGTCTTGGTGAAACTGTGACAGGTTTTTGTTATTCATTCCCATACTACTGAATGTGCTGAGTAGAAGCCACTTTTTTTAGCGTGCAAAGACATGAATACTTCTTGGACAGATTATAGGACTCACAAATAGTGAGCTGTAGTTATAGGCCTTGCGTTGTTCCATGTGTGAAAATTATGTGTAATAACACCTGTGATATCTTTGGGTTTTACCCAGAATTCAGATACCTACTCTTTATAACCTACAAGATTTTCTGCTGTCCTCATTCCTTGTGCTGGAAAATCATTTTCACTGCCCTCAGAACTGTCTTATATAGCATCAACCTGAAGTGGTTTTTCAGTGGCTTCAGCAAAAAATTTGCAGAATATGAATTTGAAACACTATGGGATTTGTTCTACAATCTCCTTCATTAACTTATCATACTTTCCCTTACAAGTCATTAAGATTTCCCTCCTACTGCTCTAAGTGGAAGACTGTTTCAGGACCCCACTCCTCTGGTTAAAAGAAAGCTTCATCAGATCTCAAGACACATTCTATTTATGAGTATTTTTTACTTTTATACCAATTACTTTATATTACATATCTTTCCTTGGTTTTCATTCTCTTGTAGCCTTTCTTTTGCTAAACTAAACAAGAATAAATTTGTCCTAGAGTGTGTGCTCTATTTCAGAGGGCATCTTACCAATACTTTGCAGTATTTCACACATACTCTTTCTTTAGAGTATACCTTGACTCATGCACCTTTGACTTTGTGTCCACAGACAAGGAAATAGGCAGCAAAAGTCTGTCTGCCTATGCCAACAGGAAGTTTCTTGCTAACTTTGGTGCAGTCATTTATTCTCAACACTTGTCTTGGAAGAATAAATCCATTAATTTATTCTGCTTTGAGTTTTAGAAATCATAAAAGGTATTCTGAAAAGTAATAGGTTTGCGTGGCAAGAAATGCAGGGTTGCAAAGCAAACCATATAGAAATGTTTGCCATTTGCCATGTTGGTGCAGGTGAAGCTGATCTCATTTCTTTCTTGAAGTTCAAACACCCAAGAGTGCAGCTTTCAAAACTCATCCTCTAAGGAATTGCAGATGCTAAGGGCTTCTAAGCACCACTGTTTGAAAGCAGACAACTGGCTGAAAGATTTATTTGTAAAGAGAAAAATACTAAAGGAAATGTGTCTGTTGACAGTAGAAGATTATAAAAATCTACAGATTTTCCATCTTCAAAATCTGCTATATCTCTGATGAGAAGTAGACTAGTGTTTGAGAAATGTGAAAGTGATGGCAGTATATTATATTAAAGATGTGGGGGTGATTTCTTGGGAGAGATTATAGTATCTGCTGCTACATTTATACCAGTATATGAAAGTTAAATGCTAAAGGAAGAGTTTATAAATTGAAAATATGATGTGTATATTATAAGCAAACTCTTACATAAAGCATTACTTCAATTGCACTTATGCTGCTATTGTAAATGACATATGAGCAAAATCAGTTCTGAAACCTGATTGTCTACTATTGCACTGCTACAGAGAGTGTGAAACAAAAGTGACCGACGTTTATTTTGCAGAACTGCTTGTAGCTACTCAGGATACAAGGCAGTGAAGCTCCATTGTAGTTTGCTTTTTACTAATATGCATAAGTATGCATATAACTCATAATTTTTTTCATTGCAACTTCAATCTTACTTTTATTTACAGTTTTTCACCTTTGAACAATACAAGAAGCTACTAGGATATGCATCATTACCTCCAGGACTGGTATGTATGGATACAGAACTTCATGTTCTAATTTAATATGTGTATACTGAATAGTCTCATCTGCTTTCTCCCCTAGAAGAAGCCCAAAATTAAAGGGTCCGGTTCAATAAACAGTTTTTCAGAACAGACTTGTGCCTCAGAAACATTGATAAAGAATTTATCAAAATAATAAATACATGAGTTTTTATATCAAATGTCTTCAAAATAATTCCCTACAATGTCATAAAATTTGTTAATATGGATAACAGCTGTCAACATGAAAGAGTTGTATGCAGTCTGTCATTCTTCTTCTTGCAAAATAATGAAAAATTTATTTATTTATTCAATATTTATTTATTCATGTGATGGCGACTAGTTTGATACCTTAACCTCAAAGTGTTATTCTGCAAGGCACAGTGCGACTATAACAAAAATACAGATCTTAGTCTTATTCTAAAGACTTTCTAACATAAACATAAGTTATGGATAAGAAATTGCTACATCCTTTGAAGTCAATGGCAAAACTCTCTTACATATCAGTGGAGCTCAGAATTCATCTCAAGAACATAACTGCTTTAAAAACAAAATGCAGGACATACATATACACAGAAAGGCTTTAATGCTAAGATGTAGCTTGCATGTGTGATCTGCATTTTTATATGTTCAGATTTATTCTGCTATTTTACCATTTGGAGAAAAATACTTGTTGTAAAAACTACTGCTTCCTGAGGTGCAAGAATGTAAATCATAATAAATATCTATTTTTCAAAATAATTGCATTGCAACTGTATGAAAATGTATTTTTATGGTTACGCTATAAAGGTTTTGGTTATTTCAGGTCTCTTTCAAACAATATTGCTTCCATTTACATCTGCCTGTCATTGCTGTGAGTGAATGGTCATAGAATTATATTAACTGGTTTAAAGCAAATTTCCTCTTCCTCTTACTAATTCATCATTGACCCTATAGTTGTTTACAGTCTCTCCTATTTTATCCGGTATTTTTCAGCAGGTCCTTCTCATCCTTAGATGTAAATAGAAAGACTGATATTTGTTCTCTAGTGAGTGGAAAGAACAGAGCTTAAGGTTCTGTGGTACCCCAGCACTATTGGGAGGGGGGAATATGTGCTGCAAACTTGTAAATAGCCTAGAGCTGCTTTGATGCTTATAACAAATATAGCAAGCATCAGACACCCCTGATATTTTTGGTGCAGTACTATTACCATAGAGGCATTTTTGACCATAAAGTATGCATAGTAGTGAGGGAAAAAGAAGATTGAGAGGAGTTCTGGTCTAAGCTAGACAGAATGTTTCTAGGTACTTCAACAGACCTCATATCAAGGCAACATTTATTATTAAAAGAGAGATGCATATATTAACACCATCTTCCTGCTGGCTTCAGTTCATGATGAAAGGTTCTTATCTCACTGTAAAAGTAGATTTGTTAGTAACACAGTCTCCTCCAAAGGCAGTAAGGCTAGTGTTTGCCGCTACCCCTCTAACTTTCCATTTGTCTTTTTCTTGACCATTCAAGAGTCCCTGTTCAAATCGCTCTGTATTAAATAAGTTTTTTCTCACTATTGTTTTTTCCTTTCCATTGGTTTCTTTGAATTTCAGCAAATGTACTCATTATATTGCATTTTAGTCCTGGGCCTTTTTTCAGCACCACAGAGTTTGGGGATGCTAAGTGGAAGCAAAAAATATGTAAAGTGGTCACTAAATTTAACCCCTCTGAATTTTCTCAATTGACTTGAATATTTTAATACTATTTTTTCTTACAAACAAAATGTTTTAAAATGCTGCAAAGCAGTAAGTATCTCCACACTTATGGCTGAAATGTATCATCAGCTTCTAATTAAATGGAGTTAATTCATCCTTGCAGTGAATGCAGACATTTCCCTGTGTGCCACTCATTCCCATATAAACCACTCTAAGATTGATACTTACCTAGGTGTACTTTACTTCTACTTGTGCAATTTGCTTAAGTACTGTTGAGCTATTTTAATTTATTACATTTAAGTTAGTATGTTAGTGTTATGTGCTTAATGCTCAGTTCAGAGATTTTATTTTTTCCAGTCCTGCATAACTGCATCTATATTTGTGTTATTACTCAGACTCCACCAAAAGATAACATGAGGGCATTCTTTTCCCATGTTTTTGTAATAATTTGGTATCATATTTTTCTTTCCAGATGAAAAGAGAATTCATGGGCAGTGCTGTGACATTTTATTTTGTCTTTTTTGGGATCTGGTTTATGGCTATTGTCATATTGTCTTCATGAACTGTCAGCATCTAACCAAGGGCTAAAATTGTTTAGCAATAGAATACTGCTGCATTACTGTAATCTTGCCATTTGCATTGTATCATTCAGTTTCATAATCTGATGTAGGGGAGGTTTTACTCCTTAATTTTTAACTGTCATTTTAACTTTCCTAGGCATTTGCAGTTGCTGGCTTGGGATCTGGGTTGACAGAGGCAATTGTGGTTAACCCCTTTGAAGTAGTAAAGGTTACCTTACAGGCCAATCAGAATGCCTTCAAAGAGGTATGAAAATTGCTTCATTCTCCTTTTTCTGCATAATGCACTTCTAGGTTCATATTTAGAGCAGAATTTCTATAATATATTGGGTTGATGTAAATGATATTCCCACAAGCTTAACAGAAATGGAAAGAGACTCAGTAGACAATGCATTCAGATATGCAGAGATGCACACAGTATTGTCAGAGGCATCAGCATCTCCTGGTGCCTGAAGTGCACCTTCATCTCTGTGAGGAACGATAATCTAGAAGTACAAACCTGAGCCTCTTCTAGAAAGTGCATTTACCCCAGCAGGTTCCAGACTTGAAGTGATCACTGAATGTTAGCGTAAAACATCATGGCCCTGTGCCCTATCTAGAGTCCAGCTGGTGTATTTTATGCTATATTTCTTGGATGAAATTATTTATACTATAAGACTTAGCATCTATTAGAACAAAATGGAAAATTGTTATATAATAAAGAACACTGACAGTTTAAATTCTTGCTTCATTTCAGTTTTATTATTCAAATACTATTTTGTCCAAAAAAGTCAGCATGCAAAGCTAACTTTGTCCATGGTTCTGGGTACTGCTGAAAGCGGAAAAAGATTAAACTGGAAAGCAGTGATTCATCAAAATCAAATGTTCCCAGGAAAGCACCAGCTTCTAATGTTCCAGGCTAAAGTGAAGGAAGGCAGTAACACAGTTCCTTCTTTATTTTCTCAGTGAATAAGGCTAACAATTGTCATATCGTCTTTTGCAAAATCTTTTGAGAAATCAGCTGTACCATGGTAGAAGACCCAAATCACGTAAACATGTCATGAAATGGTTGGCTGAGTCCCCGGTGAGGTGTGATTTTTGCATATTCTACTATTAAGTTTTGACTGAGTTAATACTTGCATGCCTTCTAGCACTCATCTGCACAAATTGAACCCTTTTGAGGGATGCATAGTAAAGAGATTTATCACTTGGCCATTTACTTAAGCTGTTTAGGCCAAGTTCCTCAGGTACACTTTGGAAAAATGCAACCACTGATTTCCAGATGTCATAGTCTACAGTTACTCTGTAACTCATCCAGAAAAGTATGCTCTTCCAGAATAATTTTTAAAATGCTTGGTAAACTTCTGTTCTATTCTCAATGCATGTGAAAGAGATGTTTGTTTGCTATGTGTCTCCAGTCTAGGCACTTTTTAACCTTGGGCTGCAAAGCCACTGAAACAGATAGGTAAAGTACAGGATAAAAAGTTTAGGATCCTGTAAGGAGAGAGACTGAAAATGGGAAAAAGCAATGTGTGAGAGGATCTCTCTCTCAGGAAGGTGATATGATAAAAATTATGAAATACTACTGCTCTGGTAGTAGTAAACTAAGCTATTCTGGATCTTTCTGCCTCACAGTTGTGAAGACATAATTGACCTATCTTAATAAAACCTCTACTTTTGAGTATAAACACACCAGTATTATATTTTGACCAAACTATTTCCTGTAAAGTTGCAAAAGACCTGTATATCCTTTCACTTCATACATTTCAATTTTCTTTTCTACTGCAAAACTTATAACAAAGTCTGGCGTGTTTTAGTTTGTAAATTTTATGCAATTATTTACTTTATTTAGAGCATCCCTTCCTTGGTGAGTTTCCGAATACTCCAATAATCACAGTGTAGCTGTCCAAAAGCATTCTGAGTTGTTTTTTTTCAGGTGAATATTCTTTAATTTAATTTAAATGCAAATTTTCACAAAATCCAAATATTAGTATATTATCGTACAAATAAAATTGTGAAAGAATGCTATTTGGACTCCACTAGGAACCTAGTTTACATCTAAAATATGAACTATTTGCCCTAATAAAAAAATCCAAGGGAAATTAAGTTCTTAAATCACAATGATAGTTAAATCATAGACATTATTAATTTTCAATATATCTTTAAAAAAGTGCTAGAATTTCAAAATTTGCTGTGAATTAGAAAAAACTCCAGTGACTTCATTACCACGATCTCAAGTTCTCATTAAGAATATGTTGAAGAACATTCCACACTAAAGCATGTAAACTCAAGCCTGTTGGAAGAAGCACGTCCAGAGGTTATATTATTCAGTGTAAGGCAATGGTACATGCATTTCATTACCATGCACTGTTTTTCTAAAAGGTTTAAGTAAAGTGTGTACCTATCCCTTTGTGGAGCTTTCATACTACCTGATGAAACCTAATGCAGTTCACATATTTCTTTGACTATTGTATTGAAATAATAAATACATCTTGTTTAAAAGGAACAAGGAAGAGTATGAACACATACACTCACACACATACTCCTGCACACCCCCAAAGCAAATATTCACACCCTTTGGTGACAGCTGAATTGTTCTGTGCTACCAGATCATCTTTCGAGGGTTGATAGATTTAAAGATGAAGGCCACTATAAATCACGTATCAGCATTTTTGTAATGTGGATTGCTATGGGTAAAAATAATTGTGACTTTTTGTTAAACTAAATTGCAAAAAGGACCAACACCTCATTGTTCAGTTTTCCTCCTTTTTTTTTCCTTTTTCCCTGTACCCCTGGATAATTCACTGGCTATAGAAACTGGTGTGATGATTAAAATCTTCTCACCTGACTTAAGAGTTGTGATTAATTAAAAAAATACAAGTTTCTGCTTTATAATGAGAATTTGGCTCTAGGTTCCATTGACTAGGTCTGTATTGAGTAAAAGTCAACAGTTGTCTGAACTGAATTAACTCCATATGCTTATACAATAAATTCCTCCATCTAAGGTCCTCTCATCATCAATGATGAACCACAGACCTTCTATGGCTTGATCAGCTGACATGAGGATGCCTACTTTGGTAACAGTGAAGTGCTGTCTAAGACAGCCCTTTTTATTACCAAAGGACTGAAAAGGGAAGTCAGTGGTAGTGGTAGTTTGGTCTAGGCCTTCCTTAGTGACCAGTTTGTAACCAAGGAAGTGCCCAGATTTACCTGGTATTCCCTATGATTTTTACGTAAGCCGGAGTATAAGAAGAAAGGAGGAGACGCCTTCGCTCTCTTTCCTTTCAGCGGCTTTGGAGGTGCAGGTTTCCCTGCTGTTGAGTCTGCCGGGTTGGGGAGCAAGGCCTGGTAAGGCCATGTTGACCTTGGGAGGCGGAAGCTGCCGGCAGTCATCCCAGCGTGACTCTCCGTTGTCCCAAGGAGAGTAGTAAGATATTCTTTGCTAATTCTTTTAGTTGATAGACCTTGGGCTACTGATCGGGATACATATATATATATATATATATATATATATAATTTTGGTTTTTGTTCTTCCCTTCCCCTTTCCCTTTTCCCTGTGAAATTATATATATATTTCAACTGTACATAACTGTAATATAAGTGTAAATATATTTATATATATTGCTTTGCCTCTCTCTCGTTTCTGGTTCTTTTGGGTTTTTTTCCCCTCTCCTCCCTTGGTTTGGGGGGGGAGGGGGGGACTTCTTGTGGTAAGCTTTGGAGACTTGGCAGGGAGCCAGCTCCAAACCATATCAGATGTAGACATTGCAGGTATCTACATTTGGACTAATGAACTCCATCTCAGGTGTTCAGCAACTGACAGGCTTCCCCTCTGAATCATTAGTAAATTTGTATTCGTGATAAGGGATATCAAGGGATACCTTACTATTGAAGGTTGCTGTATTCAGCTTAAATCACTTTAAACAGGACCGTTAGTTATTTTTTAAAAATCTAATCTCCATTTTTTGTGCGTGAGAAAGGATGTTATTGCTGGTATCTGGACAATTTTCTGTGTTGGGTATAATAGATTTTGACTTGAATCCTTGGGGGTAGTTAAAAGGTAAATTATAGTAAAATGTTAATGCAGAGCATTGACAGGATAACATTAGCTATGAAATATGAGAAACCAGAGTGAAACTTAGTATTAAAGACTAAACTTGTGATTCACCTCAATAAACAGTCATATGCTGTGTCAGATATAATAGGCATCATTTGGCTGATGCTGTTGATTCCACCACAGTGACATTTTGAAATGGAAAGCTATTAAACAAATAAATTTATTGAAATTAGCAGTGTTCACAGCATTGCAGTCAAAATTTTTCTATATTTTCATGTTTGAACCTCCTAGTGGAAGTCATGTTTTGCCTTTCTAATTATATATTTGGTTACCAGGAGCTGGCTTTATGCTTTGGAGAAAGCCAAACGTAGTTCAACAACTTTTTGAAAGTAACTTTTCTATAATGCTGCTAAAAAGAAATGTAAAATATTGAGAAGGGGAATACTAATTCTGAGTATCACAGTATACTAAAAAGTAGATCAAATGTGTGTGGAGTCTGGTAGATCATGTCTGATCTGAGGAAGTTTCCTCCTTTCTGCCTTTCATTAAATTGGCTGACTGAAATGATTTCTATGCCTTTTGGGCATTTTTTTCAAAATGGGATTTCTAAAGGCAGATACCTAAATCTGTACCTTAGAATTTTAGTAGGTGCTCTGATTTTCAAAACCTAAGTACAATTTTAAGTCAAATAATTCATTAGAAGGGCAAAACAGGTTTTCCAGTTAAATACTTAGGAAAAGTTTTCCTTCTTTTCAATATTTTCAAGATTTAAAATGTGCTGTGTACCCAATAATCCCTTCAAAAGTCAATGTCCTAAAGCAGTGGTTTGCATCCTGAACAGCATGAAGCACCTCAGAGGGTCCAGAAGGGTTTCCAGATAATATATATGCATTTGTCACCCTTTCAACCCTATTCATAACATTGAAGCTGGAACTGCCAACCTGATCTTCAACACAAATATTTATAGCCTCCCTTGCTGCTCTAATTTATGACTCTTAAGGACTCTGTTCTGTAGCCATAATGGCTCAAAAAATTCCTGTTCTAGTTCTGTCACTTTTATCACTCCCTCATCATGCATATTCCTGTGCCATTGATTTTACTAGAGAAGCCTTTTTTCTTTTTAATTTCCAGAATAATTGTTGAATACTTTAGTTGTGTAAGAGTTTCATCTGTCATAATCTTAACAGCACAGCATCAATGATAAACAAAAAAACCCTGTTGCAAAATTCACACATTCAAAGTTACGTGTGGCTCTATATATTTTTAAAATTATTATTATTCAAAGATTTTTTTTTGTTTTCAGAATCCTTAGTCTTTTACAGTACTCAAGTCATGCTTTCATTTTGTTTTGCAATCAGAAAAATGAATAATCTTTTTTTTATTAAAGTTGTGATTTTTTGTGGTCACAGGAAAGTGAAAATAAATATGGTGAGATAAAATTACAAGAATTGGCAACGCTGTGTCAACAAGATGGAAATTATGCTATGTTTACTGTTTTCTTTTTGTAAAGATAATCTCTTCCTTCTTTTTCTTAACTTGTGTAGCAACCATCTAGCTTTGCTCAAGCTCGGCAGATCATTAAAACCAATGGTCTGGGCTTCCAAGGACTCAACAAAGGTCTTACAGCAACACTGGGCCGTCACGGAGTTTTTAACATGGTTTACTTTGGGTTCTACTTCAATATGAAAAACATTCTTCCAGTTAATAAAGTAAGTTCTTCATACAAAGGAATAGACAATCAGATAAGAGGTTTGGCATTTTAATTAATACTGTATTTTTCTGTGAAAAGCTGTGGTATTTAGTAATAAACAGTGACTAACCTATCTGTGTTTTGCAGAAATCTATAACATTTTAATGGAAACAAATGAAGGTCTTGTACTTCTCACTTTTTAAGCATAGCTGAGTATAGTCATGTTGGAATTATCATTTTTACGTGACAAGGCAGCAATCGAAATACAGGCATGTTATGGTTATGTTGAGTATGTATGCACTTTTTTGTGGCAAACTGGATTGGAAGAGGAAAATCAGTTTCTTGAACTTCTTTCAGTATTCACAAAGAGGCTAAGCTCGAGGAGATGGCAGAGCTGCAGTAGGTAGGTTATTCTGGCCAGGTAATGGGCCTTTTTACTCAAAAGAGAGTTCAACCTTGTGTTGAAGGATGACTGGGAAGATTCTTCCATATGGGAGAGAGACAGGCCAAGACAGGACATACATGGTCATGCACAGGGACTTTATGTAGTTTATAAGTCTAAAATAAGAATTGTTATAGCTTTAATTCAGTTTAAAGCAACTTTGATGGTCCTATATTTCTTTAAATAACAAAGGAAATACTTCCCTTTACAATAAAAGGAAATTTTACTAATGAAAACATGGTAGTATCAGCAACTTTCTAAATTACTCTGTTTGCAACAGCTAATGGTTTATTGATGATTTCAGTACATTACTTACTGAAGTGTGTTTTCACTAATGTGATTTTTAGATGATGACAGTTAAACAGTCACAGGTGTATATAATGGCCAGTCTTTGTGAATGAAGATTTTGGGGAAAGGTCTTTTACCTTTCCAGCCTGCGCAATGGATTTTTTAGGTGAGACAGCCTGCGCTGAACTGAGCCCACCCTTTAATCCTAAAATTCATCTGCCAGGGCCAAGCAAGCTTGGACAATGGCAGTGAGGTCCTCAGGATGTAGGTTTGTTTAGAGTGACCTTCTCATAGATGGATGGCCTCACAGGGCTAGCGGACTCCATCTGCCTGGGGGGACTGGGATTTGAACCTGGGTTGCAGCGGTGAGAGTCCCGCATGCTAACCACTAGGCCACCAGGGGTCCCCCAAAGTCACAGGTGTAATATGCAGTGATATACATATAAGAAGCAGCAATTTAAATCAAAAGGGATCAGTTTCTATTCCCAGATGAAGTAACACCTCTTTTTTTTTTTTTTTCTGCACTTCTGAGTAGCCTGGTATTTTTGTTGGCAATATTGTGTAAATGGAGAAGAGCTCCACTTAGTTTCAGATCATTACAGTAAACTGAATTGTTCAAGACCAGCTGACCCACAAGTTTCCACAAGTTTCTTTTAGAGTATTTAAGCATACTTTACAGTGTACTTTAATCACACATCCTAAAAACTCAAGGCACAAGCATAGCTTGATACTAAGATAGCAGTAAACACATTTGTGTTGATCAAGCGATGAAAAAATTATAATCCCTATTGCAGAACATTCAGAATAATATGCAGGTAAGGACAAAGACTTATGTGCAACTCATATGGAAATCCTGAAATATCCTTCCATAGCAATTGAAGAATAGTAATAGTATTTGGCATAAGTGTGCTTTCCTTGCCTTTTGGATTTAAAAAAATAGGAAACAATTATTACATTATTTGAAAGATTCAGAGCTTTATGATCTAAAACAAATTTGCACTTCATACAGATTTTGTATGATGTAGAAAAATTTTAACATTACAACGTATGTTTAAATACATGTAGAAAACAAAAGAGAAATTACTTTAGTGTTCTCTGGCGGTGGCCCAGCTGTCCTCACATATTAGCAAAAGCAAAAGGCAGTTTAATCAATGTGGCATTAGATTGCATTAGCTGCAGATAAGAGCAGAGGTTTGCCTTGTGCTTTACCAATGCCAAGTGGCTTTTATGGCGGCTTGCACAGTGGCTACATCTGTGCTAGTTGATTGAGCAGCATCACTGAAACTCAGTCATCTGTATTGATAAATGTTCCTTGGCACAGCTTTGGCCCTGGTCAGCCAACACATTTCCTGGGTGTGGCTTAGGAGCTAGTCCAGACAATGACCCATTCCTACTAGGCTGGTTTCAGGCAGCCAGTATGTTTTGGATGGTAATAAATTTCAACAGTGCTGAAAAAGTTAATAGGACTCTCTAGGCCAGCTAGCATCAGTGCCATAGACAGTTCTGCACAGATAGATATAGCCAATAATTCAGATCAAACTCCCATTAAAAATCAGATCAAATCTTACCCTGAATTTAAGAGAATATAGATCAGGTCTCATCTGGCTTGCACTAGTCGACATTACATTCAGCTATTTAAATACATTGAATTTCACTTCAGTGCCTGGTAAATGGAAGTATTCAACAATAATTTGTGATCTGTAACTTAAACCCCTTCTGTCAGTGGGCAGGTACTAAAGGCTGAGTTATCAAACCTCTACAAGGAATTTGGTAGAAGCTGATTTGCAGTGAGTCTGAAAAATATTAAACAGTTGTAACTTCTCAAGATTTTTCACATACTTTATTTCATTACACTTGATTTCATTTCACTTTCTATATTTTGCGAGAAAAAAAAAGTCTTAAAGCCCATCCTGTAATATTGACAAATACATAAAAATTGTGAAATAAGAATACTACACTTGTGAAATAATTTTGATTCTTGACTATGTATTTCTTGTTCACCATCTGTAACTTTAAGTGGAAAATGTAAGGAAACATTTGAATGAGCATTTTAGTTGTCAGCAGTTCTAAACTGTGCATTAAATTTGCATCCTGATCAGAGATGTTTGCAGCTATTTTGCCAAAAACAATAAACCTTGTGTGTTGAGTGGTCAAATGATATAAATTACATGTATGGGTTGTAAATGTCCATAATGAATAATTTTTTGCACATTCAGTCCATCTTACTAAACAGACAATTTACAGCCAAACTTGTGCTCTGTTTACTGAAAATGGAATAAGCCAAATTTCTTTCAAGTGCCACTAATGTATCAATCATAAAGCATTAACAGCTATGCATCTGCCCTAGCAATGAAACTCATCTGCAAATTTATATTGTCTCAGTTTTATGGCACCTGCTTTTATAGCACATTTCATAGGCATCCAGCAGCTTTTGCTTTCCAATTTTTTATCATAATTAGATTTGATGGTAAACATTGATTTCATTAAAACCTTTGCTCACTGCCACCTCCAAGTGGCTGTCATATTTCTTAATAATATGAAATTTCCTCACTGCCTGTTAAAAACCCCCTTTGAAACCTGGCAAACTAAAAAACTCATTTCAAGTTGGGCACTGCCTGCCCCAGCTACTACAGATGTGCCTCCTGATACAAGGGCCGCTGCATCAGACTGTGAGAACTGTGTGGTGTGTTGTTTTGTAAGAGAAAGGGTCTCTAAACTTCTATAGGCAAAGAAGAAGAAACAGGAAACCAAAATGGGCTGTTCAGATTGGTGACTAAGTAAGATAGAAGATAACAATTTCATTTTAGTTGTTTTCAGATATATGCAAACATAGAAGTTCTATGTAGAAACAGGGAGAGAAAAGTACATGTAGTGCTACGGACTTGAGGAAATAGTAAAGCAAGGTGATTTAGAAGAAGACTGAATCAGAATGGGTCAATGAATAACCTCAGAGCTACCATTGAAGTTCAGGTTTCAGGATGACCTGGGAATTAAAAAAAAATTAAGGTGGCAGTTCTGTATCCAGTATAACATCACAAGTCACTCATTGATCGGTATTCTTCACTGTGAGGTGTCCTGTGGCTGTTGAAATGACATCCCGTACTGTTTAAAGATTTCAGCCCAGGTCATCATCACCAAAACATCTTGGCACCCAAGGGGGACAGTGTGTTGCTATCTCACCTATTCCTGCACTGCGCTATTTCTGTAGACAAGACAGATATGAAGTGCAAGGAGAGGAATCTTCAGTTAAAATAAAAATATGAAGGATTTCTGTTTTCCTACAGAAATTATAATAATGCTTGAACTGATAACCAGATTCCACCATAACTGGCAGAGAGTCAGGCTTAAAATAGCTACATTTTTGTGAGACATACAAATAATCATTTAGAAGGAGAAGAGATGCTTATGAGTGCCCCAACTGAGGGAAATTTTCAGTGGGAACTTATGCCTTATTAAACACTGAATTCTATGGGGAAAAGTCCATGTAAGCCTTAGTCTGGACTTTCACTTTTCCAGACATCAATATCAATCAGTCACAAGGGCTGATAGGATATCAAACTTCTTTCAGTCTGCTATTCATAAGGCTACTCACTTTTTTTCTGTTTCATAAATTACTGTATAACTGAGACTGAAGATGGGTAGTGCTAACAAAGGTACCGGATGTAGGGGTAAGCAGTAAGACATCCATTTCTCAGTGCCCTTTTCTGCATAGCCTAGCCTCTAAATGATGCCATGAAAAGCTGTCCTGCTTGTAACCACAAGATTTCATGAACATCTGATCATCTGCAGAGTAACTCAACAGGGGAGAGCTGCTTCAAGTTTACTATGTAAATACATAAGATTAATAGAAGTCCACTCATTAACTGTGGTCAAGTCTTGATTAAGTCACAAACAAAAAGTGTGAATATTCTTTAAAACAGTAGAAGCATGATATTATCACAACAGTGATGAGATTCCCTTTCATCTTTTCTTTTTCACCTTTGCTGGAGACTTGCAATGAGTCTACATAGTTTTCTCCTCCTTAGTGCTGATTTCTTTTGCGAATTTGCACACCTCCAAAACATCTTATCTGTACCAGCCTCTCCCTCTCAGAGTAGAATTTAATAGCCTTTCTTCCCAGCTCTTTTCTAGGATTCAGCAGGAAAACCTGGACCCTGTCTCTCCTCTGGGTTCTGGCTCAGTGTCTGTGTTTAAAAGCAACTCATTTGAGTTTTTCATCTGTTCCATGTTGCTTTCCTGAGAGCTATCTCACACCTTTCTTTGAATATACCTTTTCTCCTCTGTCTTGAAAGCTCCCCTTCCCCAGACCTATGTGTTCCTTTCTTCCATTGTCTGTTGCCACAGGAAGCTCCTTTTAGAGATTGAAACCAATTATCAGGCTGGGTAAAGCAGTTCCTTTACAGCCTGTTTTGCTGCCAAATGCTTAATTATAATCAGTGTGGCCTGGGTCAGGTCTTGTGGCTTCTTTTAATTTCCCGTAGGAGTTCCTATGCTATTACACTTTACATTAGCCAAAAGGGACAGCAAGCAACACCATTCCATACTCCTGGACTATCTCCCTCTTCAGTTCTATAACTCCAGGCTACACCAGGCAGAACCAGAGCTGGACAAAACAAAGCCTTGATTTTTAAAGTCTCCCTTGTCATACACAGGGAGGTGGAATTTGCATCATATAGTGCAAAGGCTCTCAGCTCCACTCCTGGCTTCTCTGCTGACCCTTTATGTGATCTTGAGCAAGCGTTTTTAAATTTAGTGGGCATTTCAAATCACTTTTGCCACTTTTGTGCCAAGTGAAACTGGGCTAACTTCAGTAGACTGCTTTATAATTGACAACTTCAAACATCATACTATTATTATTATTCATTATTCATGCAATTTCTTGGAAATTGGCATTCTCCTTATCCAGCAAGCATTAGTCTCTTATAGTGAATTTATCTATAAGGTGGCCAGAAGTACCAAAACATATTTATGAAAGTATTCTTTCTCATAAAATATGTACCTCCAGCAACTGAGGGGGGAAAAAAAAGTGAAAAAACCTCAAGACATTGAATAACTGAAGCAAAAACTTCTAGAAATAGCTTCAGTTAAGCAAATTAATATTTATTGATCTTTTGGGCTTATTGATTTTTTTCATTGAAAATAATGTTAAATTTTAAGTTTCTTTGAGACATATTTTGCCACTATTACTCAGACTGAAAAGGGGCTCTGTGTTTTACAAGAGTAAAAGACGGACTTGGAGCTGTTCCTTCAAAGGTACCTACTTCTCTCCACTGCATATGTGAGTGTGGTGTCCTGCCTTTGAATCTCTGGATTGCACCTAAGATGGGTGGCTAAATCTGTACAAATATATCTAGTATGGTGAATCTATACAAATATAACTAGTATAAAAATATTTTTCAATTATTCTGAAAAAATTACAGTAACTGAGTTTCAAGCATACATGCCTTTACCAAAGGGTAATTTCATTGCTGTATTAATATCAGTTCTGCTTATTGAATTAAGTAACCTTCCCTCAGTAGGGATGAAGATAATTGGGAAGCTTTTGACTGAGATCAAAGATTTAAACAGAGGTTTTGACAAAGTGCCCAGCAAATAAACAAGAGAATGAAGTGGCCAGCAGAGGAAAGCCCAGGGCTTTGGAAACTGAAGCTGATAAATTAAAACTGTCTCCAGTGGGTGACACTCCTATACATGGGTGTATATGTTCTAGATTTAGGGCTAGAATTTTCAGTTGCTGGAAATAAAGGAAGGAAATAAGCAGCATATCATTTGGGAGGAACTTATTGAGTCTCCACTTATTAAAAAATTTTATGATAGAAGTAATATATAAAAAGCAAAGAAATAACATCTCAAAATTTTTTCTCCCCAAGAAAGCAGGTAAATCCAGCAGGACACGCATAGATATGGCATTTATCAGGGATGCCTACATTTCTCTTTGGTTTTAATAGCTGCTGGTGCTCCCAGGGCAGGGATTAAGGTGTGCAGGTAATGGGATTGTGAAGAGCTTGGTAAAAAGGTACGATGATCACAGATTGTTATCCAACCATGGCTAAGTTATTCCATTGTAAATAATCAAACTGCTATTTCACTTCCTTGTGGAATGCTGTCCTGTGCTGTAGCACCATCTAAAATCAAGTTTTCATTTTATATGTTCTGCTCATACTACGTAAAAAATTGACTTTGCTTAAAAACAGAATTCATGTATGTTTTTCCTCCATTTCTGCCATTTATGAAAGCAAGAGGAGCATGTCAGAATCTTTTTTCCTAATGAACGACATACAAAACATATAATATTTGGTCATTGAGCTGCATAGTGCAGAAGTTAGTGACAATAGTGTGATGATAACTGCCTCAGACATCCAGTTGCAGCATTAGCACTACAGAGATACTTTATCCTTAAATCTCCTTCCATAGGATTCTAGACTGTTAGGAATATTTTGGCATTATCCATAGGGCAAAAAAGGATAGATTTTGGTGTAAAAAGAAAAACACTACTTCATAATAACACCAACTTGCACCTACCTGATAGATAGCCAATGTTCCTTTGTCCATGTAAGCACTGTAGGCAGAGGCAGAAATTATGTTTGGAAGTCTCTTTTTTGATTGAAAGCATTATCACAGTAAAATGCCATTAATATATGCTTTTAGAAAAAACAACTTAATTATTCTTAACAAATAAATTTATATGGAATCTGTTATACAAAATAAGTTACCCAGATATTACATTGATTAATGCCATAAAAAAATCTTTCCCATGAGGTTTATAATAAAAAAATCGAGTTACAGAGTGAACATAGTGTATACCATGGTATATTTGGTTAGAGTCCAGTTTTGTGAATGAGAAAAATGCTGCCTTTCAACTTTTTTTGTGTCAAAAACACTGGAATAGAAATAACTAATTTGTTTTAATTTCCCTTTAGTTGTATTAGTGCAGTGTCATGTTGTAATACATACTCACTTGATCGAACAAATCCACTTTATCCTGTACTCTGTGGAACTATCAATCATAAAGCAGGCAACACTGGCACTGGGATTTCACCAGAACATTAAATGTTCAATCATTCAAATATAAAGAATGTGTCAGGAGCAGCAAGGCTTTGAAATTTGATGTTTAACAAGTAAATATCTTTGCCTGACATATATTGCCTAGCATAGAGGGCAGCACACCATGCTTGGTGCTTGGCACCAAATTGAATTGCATAACAAAAATAATTCAGATCATTCTGGACTGTGAAAAGTGGTAGCCTCCCTGCTGTAGCCCGGTTTGAGGAGGTTATTACAATCTGGAATAGTACTTAGCTATCAGGCATGGGTATAATCCTATGCCTGCTGCCTGAAGCTAGATAGGCACCATGATGAAACAGGGCTGCCACACTGCTGCCCCTCCAGTTTCAAAAGGGGTCATCTTTTCTTCTCTAGATAACAGAAATATTGGCTTTATTCTATTTGCATTTAAACCACTGTATGTACAAAATAAACAGAAATTTGTTGCTTAGATCTTTGCTAATAAAGTACTACAGTACCAAAAGCTATTATAATTTTTAAAAGATTATTACTAATATGTTTCATGTTTTGTGAAATCATGGTATTGAATTTTTCTGCAAGTAATAAAGAGCCCTGTTGATTTTGACATTTCTTTCTAAATACCTGTGTGGATTTCTTCCAGTGCATATTATGGAAGTTTTAATTTATTTTTCTTGTTGCTAATCAGGAAAGGAAAACTTCTTCCTTGTTTTCTTTTTCATTCAAAAATGTGCAGGTTTAGGAAATGAAAAATTGTTCTTTTTTAATATTGATGTTATAACATGGCAATATCATTTGTTATTTTAATTATGATTCTCTATAATTAAAGTTCTTTCTTGAGTAAGGTGTCTTGCCTATTGAAAACTAATAGCATAAAAAATAATGTGCAAAGGAAATGTCCTGGAACACACTGCCCTGTGACTTCCACTACTTAGAGAAATAGGATTAAACTTGCTTCTAGAGATTTTGACTCCCAGATAAACTCTGGGTTCTTTGATGTCATAGAAATGCCAAGGTAGGAGGTCTTTCTAAAAGATCAAATAAACCCCATTTGAACTGCGAACTGTGAGTGAGCAAAGAAGTCTTTAGATGCACTTCTAACCTATTTCTAACTTTTACCATGAGCATGTAGTAGGGTTCAGAAACAGTCTGTTGTAAATTCTTCAGCCAATTAACTGAGTGAATTACCACCGTATATAACGCGCAGAACGTGGAGGCTCTCTTGCCGTTGTGCCGAGTTGGATTGTTAATAACAGGAAGCTAGCACTTCTCAGTACAGTGGATCAGCTACATGTGAAAATAAATGTAAAAAACCTGGAGGGGAATGGCAGCAGACTGAGATTAGCCTTTATTTAATTTAGCATTTGGGGGTCCAACACACAAATGAGTGTTTTAGTAGGCTTCATGGTGGAAGTTGCTGTCATTTGTAAAATATTCTGGCCAATTAGCTAATAGTGTGCTTGGATTTCTCCTGTTTTGATACAGTAATACTAAGTACATTGTGAAGCCCAATTATACAAATCATCCCCATATGCCATACCAGTCTTTCTTTATGAACTGTGTTTATAAATCCTGTGTGAGGAAATGTGTACTTCAGCAATTTAGACCATGTGTAAAAACACAGCCAATAGGATTGTCAAGAAAACAAGTTCCAGCATAGGAAATCCTAATGTGTTCCTCTAAAATAACATGAGTGTGTTGTGTGAGTTTTCTGATTAAATGCATATTACTTTATAGTGCTTAACCTGCATAGGTTCTTCCATTTCTCTTTTTATTCTTTCTTTCTTTCTCTCTTTTTTTTGTAGGATCCAAATTTGGAGTTTTTGAGGAAATTTGGAATTGGGCTAGTCTCAGGAACAATAGCCTCAATTATTAACATTCCTTTTGATGTTGCAAAAAGTAGAATTCAAGGACCACAGCCAGTTCCTGGAGAGATCAAGTACAGAACCTGTTTTAAAACTATGGCAACAGTCTATAAAGAGGAAGGGTAAAACATTCTTATTTTAATAAATGTCCAGAACTCTGTTTCAGTTCATATTGGTCCATAAAACCAAGTTGTTACGTTTCAGATTTGACGAGGACCAGTCAGCCATCCTGAACTCATGTATCAAAAGAACCCAATGTAACATTTTGAAAATGTATTTTAGAATTACAAGGAGATATATTCCTACTATATGTGAACTTTAAGAAGAGACTTACAATATGATTACTGGGTTGTCAAAATTTCCATTCAACAAATACATATTCCATATATCTCATGTGTAATTTTTTCAACTCTTCATTTTGTAAAAGGAAAATACCAACAGAAAACAGAATATTTCTCAATTTAATCTAATTGTAATTATACAGGCCTCTGTACCTTTAAAATTACAGCTGAAATAATTAAATTGAGGGACAGATACTTGTGGTAATAATGTTTTCCAACTTTTAAAAATATTTCTCAAGTGGTGACTGAGTTGTAGCTTTGATATTCAATTATATCAGTCATTTTGTCCCTATATGCAGCTGTTGTTAACAGACTTGTCTTGAAAGTAAACCCAGCTCACTGATTAAAGTCATATTTCTGATTGGTTAGGCTCACAACGTTGATTTTGTGACTGAACATTGATTAACTTTTTCTCTTCATCTGATCTGCCTCTGTGAAATGTTAAAATCCAGATACGGCCTGCTATTGAACATGTTTAATTTCAAATAATTGCCTCTAAGTGCTCTGCCAGCATTTTAACAAACATATGCTACAATTCCATTCTTCTTTTAGATCAAGAATATTGTTTGAAATATTTTGTTTGTTTTTCTTCTGCTACAGATTTCTGGCTCTGTACAAAGGCTTGCTTCCCAAGATCATGAGGCTTGGTCCAGGTAATTTTCCTTATATCATTTCTATATTGCTATTGTTCTTGCTTTCTCTTCCCATTTGTCAGTTTCTTGAGAAAATGTAGTAAGCATCAGTCAAATAAATGGAACTGTGTACCATAAATCATTAAGAATCTCTCACTTTGAATGATTTCTTTCGATAATAACATCATCTAATAGTATTATAGATGAATTTAGCTAAATATGTGTCTAAAAAGAATCATTTACACATACACCTCAGATGCAAGTAACTGCTGGTTTTTGCAATTTCTTTATTCATGAACAAGCCTAAGTACATCTATGCAACTACCAGAACTGTAAAACTTTTGGAAGCTTCTTGAAGCTTCCTGTTCCTTCTAATGTGATCTTTTGATTTCACTAGGACTATTCTGTATCTATGTGAAGTCACCCTAAAATGCAGGTTAGAGTATCTCCAGTACAAATACATTCAACTAGTCAAAGCATAGCCCAAGCATATCAAATTCCAGTTACTTTCTTCTCCTGCGCTTTACATGTAAAGAACAAACACTAAAAAGCTGATAGCTGATAGCTGGGAAGAGACTTGTTTGGCCTGGAAGACTAAGAGGACAAGGATATTTTAGGACTGGGGTTATTGTTTAACCCCTTCTCACTACTTGTTACTCCAAATGCGGGAATTCAGTAATAGAGAGCTATATCTTTTTTGACTTTTAGAATATTTTTCCCTGACTGGTTTTGATTAATCATGAAAGCAAAGCACTGGGCCCTTAGACTTTGCCAGCCCACAGAGTCAGTCTCTGTCAAAAAGAGCAGAAGCCCCAATTTGAACAGTATCCCATTCCCACAAAATTCTTTCCAATTGTGCAAGTTGGTTTAATAGACAAGAATACACATGGGTAAAAGCAAGTAGGTACAGAGTCTGTTCTGCAGTATAAAGAAGGCATTAGGTTTGTCTGTAAATGTTTGCATATCCAATCCATCAGGCTAAGTGCTAGACCATGCCTGGTTATTGTGCAGGGTAAGGAAGAAGGTGGGGATGGGAGAAAAGGAGCTCTGGAGCTAAAAGCCTTTTCCCTGACACTCTAAAGATACTAGATTACATACAGGACAAAGAGAAGGCAGGGGTTTGCTTTCCCAATACCTCTTAGCACAGCAGATTTTGGAATAAAATTTTCCATCTTACAAATGACTATGCATTCTGGCCCAGATCCAGCAAGTCAGTTAAGTGTGAACTTCGTTCTAAATACTTTTGTAGTCCTATTGACTACTATATAGATTTGACTTTCCGATTAAACAATTATTGTGAATGGAAAGGTAGTTCGTTCTTTCAGGCTCTGAGTGCTTACAGAAAAGGAGATACACAAATAGATCACACAGTATGAGAATTGGAATCAGCCTCAATTTGAGTTCAAATCAAATCTTAGACATTGTGTCTATGATTTGTTTGTTGGTCAAAGCCTTTTGCAAATTTCTGCTCTGTCTAGCTGTCTGTGAGTTGCTGCTTATAGAGGATTTCAAGTCTGACGATGGTTCCTTAGGGTAAATGACGTGAGAATACTCATGTGGTAGTTCTGTGTACCTGGTTGTCTTAGCCTATCCCTAGAAAGGTGAGCCCAGTTCAGCAGAAGACTGAGATGCCACTCCAAGCCACCGGCTGAGCCAACAGGCAAAGGCAAGGGAAAGAAAATATTTATGTCCCAGTGCTGGAACCCACAATTAATACCCTTTCAGTCATGCAGCCTCGTTCTCCTTTCCCACCTTCTCCAACTAGAAGCTTCTCTATATGTTTTGTTATATATATACCCTCTGAAATGTCCCTTTCTTTAGCTCATATAGTAATTACAGCCCAGTTATAGTCTGGCTTCACTAAAAGTAAAGATTATTTATGGCTTTCAAGTTGGAATTTTATACTGTTATCAATTCCAGCAGATAATGCCATTTCATGAGATCAAAACTTTGCCTGTGGATTTGTAGCCAGGTACATGCACAGGAATATTACACTCATTTCAATACTGTGATTTTCTGCTTTAGACACAGTAAATAAACAAGTGAAAACCTTTCCTGAATCTTACCTGGAATCATTTTCATCATCCTGGTGATGAATTTTTGTCATTCTACCTGTCAAGTTGCTCTTTCATGGCCAAATCTAACTAAACAAACACAAAAATATATACATATTTGGATTAACAGTTTCACTTGTAGAAGAACAAAGAAAAATTTTAATCTTCCAAAAATGTTAGGAAAAATCACAGAGAGAGTGAATTTGATTTAATATAAAATTATTTACATCAACTTTTTGGTCTAATATTAAGTGAAATTAGTATGGTTTAAGAATTGGTGACTTTTTAATGTACTAGGGAATTAGTAGAATTATCCATTTTGCAAATAAGGCTTTGCCATATCCTGATTTATATTACACACTACAAATTCTCTATAAAATCTTGAAAATACTGGGTTTTCTGTGTAGTAAAATATTGTCTTTTCTTACAGGTGGTGCAGTGATGCTTTTGGTTTACGAATACGTTTATGCATGGCTTCAGGACACAGTTAATCACAAGTAGCACTTCTGAAAAATGTACTTCTTAAAATTATATGCATTCTAAAATACACTTCAATAAAGTAAAAGTGATTCTTATCCTTTATGGTGTTGAATGCACTCAGATCGCACTGATGTTAATAAGTTCAAAGCAAAGTTGGTCTTCAGGCCATGATCCAAGAAAACATTTAAACACATGCTTTTCTGTAAGTGCATAACTAAATAGCATTGCTGATATTTGTAATTGTTTTGCTGGATCAAGAGAAAATATAAAGGAGACATAGGGAAAAGTTAGTTTTTAAAGGAATTCTTGACAGAGAATCATCCTATGTAGCTATACATTTTTTTAAAAGTTTTAACTGAAATAGCAAGATAATAACTTTCAGGGGATTTTCAGGAAAAAAAATGAATAATCCTGGGGGACCAGATACTAAGCTAGTATAAACTGACAGCTCCATTAACTCCACATTAAGAACATGACCCATACTCTGCAGCTCTTGAGTAATCTTGGGTCCAGTTTCAGTTCAGCTCAGTGTGATTTCAGCAGTCATAGAAGAGCATTTTAAGTTTTTGGGAGCTCAGATAGGAAAAGAACAGCCACAACCTTAGAAACACACATACCATTAAATATCCTACTTGTTCTGATATTGTAGAAATCTCATTCAGGCCACAGAAGATACTGAAAATAATTAGTCTGAATCAAGTTACATAAAAAATGCAAAACAACATGGGACTCATAGAAGAAATGAGTAAACAAATAAACAGAAAAAAGTAATTTCAGGCATATGAAATTTTACTGTGAATTTTTTATCCACCTTCATATACTATTCCTAAAAGATCTAGCCTGTGATAAAAGTGCTCAGTGCACCCTGACTGCCCCTTTAGCCTTTCATTTCCACCATGGGGTGGTGAAACAAGTTTCCCAACTGATAACACACATGCAGTTGTAATTAGTTAGCTGTGCACCTCAAAGAAATGTACCTTTCCATAGATAAAAAAATGCTAGAATTGTTGCTTTTCCCAGTCACTGTAAATATAAATAATATTTCAGAGATGTACTCATGTCCTTACTAGACATTATAAATATCTCTGTAAAATACAGTAAATTCTGTTATGCTGACTGAAAATACAGTTTCTGTTCATGCAGTTATGCCATTCTACATTTTCTTTTAAAGAACTCTTTCAAAAACTTAAAATTACACATTATTCTGTTATAAAAGTGTTCCCATTATATAACTTGGTTTGTTGTCAAATGAGTATATATCTTGCAATTGCTGAAAGTTTCTGTAACTCCTCATGCTACATTCACACTGTTAATTTTAGTTGTTCTTCCTCTTAACGAGATACAAACCTGCTAAAGAAATATCTTTCAAAATTGTTACTTGAAAATGACTGTTCATGTGCAAAGTCTCGTCTCACAAGAGTTTTTAATGCATTAAAAAAGCAATAAAAAGCTAAAAATAGAAATGCATTTTCAGCACTTTCAAGGATGCCTGTATTGACATGCTCAATAAACCTCTTTTTTGTCTGAATTTGGCAACAGGGGCTTCTCATACCTATGCTACTCCATAGCTAAAATCAATAAAATTAACTCTGTTAAGGTTTACGTGTTTAAGGCAAATGTTCCTTGTCATTGCATTTCATTATCAGTGTTTAGCCAAAGAGAAGACACTACAAAGATAATTTCAAAAACTAAAGCCAAATGCTTCATAATTTGTCTTTTATTAATTTAGAGCATTCAAAATATAAAAATAAAATGCTTTAAACATACTGTATATACATATATAGCCTTCAGTTTTACATCCTTTCCAACATGATTTTTTTTCAGTTAATAGTTTAGCCTGATCTTTGATAAAATGAGAATGATTAGAAAACAGAAAACAGCATGGGCTTGGAAAACTAACCTATGAGCATGCCAGCCCAATCCCCCATTACCCCTGGTGTAATATGGGCTGTGATTCAGTTTTACACCAAAGGACCATGCAAACACAGTTTGGCTGTCATAGAAGGGAGTATTATTAGGCTTCACTGATTTCTTTGAAAACATTTGACACTCTGGGAATGAAGTGTAGAGTTTTCAGATTAAAAACTTAAATTCTGCACCCACATATACTGCATATTTCCCAAATGCATCCATTGACCTCTGTGGGTTCACTCCGTATTTATACCCTTGTATTTGACAACAGTATTTAACCCTTGCTTATTATTTTTTGAAAAACAACTCCCTTTTTCTCTTTAATTTAATGTAAAGTGGCTTAAAGTTGTGTGGCTAGTAAGCTGATATGTTGCAGTTTTCAGTTTACCCATTAGTATAAGCAAGGAAAAAAGTCCTTGTGCAAAGAAGTATTCTGCATCATAGGTTTACATTTTTTAAAAGATTTATGAAAATTCACACAAAAATAAACTGTCACAGGCAGTTCACAAAGAGCCAAGGTCAGGTACTTCTGCTCACTCTGAGCAACAATTTCTGCACACAGCCCCACTGACTTCCCATTCAGGGGTAAGGTATCATGTACAGCAGGCAGATGCGCAGAGAGCTGTACCTAAACAAACACAAAACAAAATGGTTTATGATGATGTATTCCCATGTGAGGAATAATTAACATCATGTCCTGTCCTTGCTGTATAAATTATCCTGATTTAGCTGAAGAGAAGATAGTGCAAACAACTCATACAAGCTAAGGATCTGTCTCTCTGTCTCCCAAAACGCACTAATATCCCATGAGAATGTCAGGAAAGACAACTTTTATTCTGGAAATGACCTCATGTTACCCAGAAAAATTTGGAAAATTTTTAATGCAGGCACACTTTGTTACAGACTTGTGAATTCTTGAAGTTTAAAAATGCTGTGCTATGAAAGGCTTCTCTTCCTTTTTCTTTGGTTTTTTTTTTCCATTTGATGTCCCCTTTTTGATTTGCATGGATAACAATAGGAAGACTTACTCAATAATTCTATAATCCAGTAAAACAACAAGGTTGAAAACTAAAATCCTCTTGCCAACTTAATCACTTATTTACTCATGATCTTTTTCTTATCTTCTTTTTTTCCCTGTTTTATTTTTAGTGAAGAGCTTGTCTAGAATTAAACCAATGTCTTTCTCATGGTGTTAAGGCTCATCTTATTTCTGCTATAATGGCATAAAGACAGAATAACATCCATCACGTCACTAAGAGTGTGGCAGAATGGAAATGCACTTGTGTGCACATTGCCTTTAGTGGTTTCAGAGAAACATTCTTGAAAAAGTGTTCTACTGAATAACAAGGGTTTCAGCATCTCATTAAAGCTAAACAGCTGTTGAATGCCTTTGAGGCTGAAGAACATGAATCAGCATCCAAGATCAGATTTTCTTTCCTTGGGGCCAGAATACAATACCTGTGTTCTTTATAGAAATGGAATTCCGTTAACTATTTTTTTAATACGAAAAGCAAAGGTGACAGCAGCCAGCTGAGTCTGTCTATATTTTAGTGGACATACTGTGTATGACATAAGTACTGGTTACTAAGATTGTTATGAAAATTTACGCACAGCTATCTTGGTGATGAAAGCTGGAAATCCACAGAGAGGACTGCATTTTAAGAGGGGACTGTATTTTACTTTCCCACTGAATTAAGGTTTAATGGGGTTTGCAGATAGAACAATATATGAAGAATGATATTTTCTCCTTTGCTTTAACTATGTCTAGTGTAATTTAAGTTATTGAAAAATATTTATAAAAATACACAATATATTAATATTCTGTGAAGGATGAAATGTCACACCAGGCTTTTTTTTCTTCCACATTCATATTCTGAACATACCTACAGCATGGGGAAAGCATAATAATAGTCAGAACTTTATTATTGCCCAAGGAAAACAAGTAAATTTTCAAAGATCAGAACGTTTGGTCTCTTGAGATTAAAGTTTAAAGCATAATAACTGGCACAGAGTACTTGCCACTGGATACAGAAATGTAGAAAGGGAATTTGCTAATATTAAATAATATCTGTGTTTGTAGCACCACCACCAGTATACCTATAAGGGAAAAAAATGCTTCAGAACAACTATGTAAACTTTACCAAGAGCCATATTTTACATTCATTAAAGCAGAAATTAAAGACAACTTCCTCTTTTAAAAATTACAATATAATCTTGGGGCCGAAAAAGCTGAACACAAGTGAACTGAGTACAATTCAATTTCTCAGTGGGTTTGTTGACTAACATGGCTTTGTACGCATCTCTGCACAGGTTGCATGCTAACAGCATTTTTCTCTACAGTCTTCAGTTTTGCTCAGGTATTTTCCACCCATTTCTGTTTGTACTCTTCACCTGAATATGGTGTTTCGTGAATTTGGGAGACTGGGTGTAGCTGTGGAGAGTTACTTAGCTGGATTTCTGCCTTTGCATCTTCTGACAAAGAGATAACTATTTCATGAGATGTTGAAGCCTCCACTGTAGGCACAAAAACATGATGAAAAAATCCTATCTAAGCCTCATCACCTGAGGCTATCACCTCACCATGCAAAGACACAGAAAATAACTAGAAATCATCTTTTTAACTGAAAGAAAGAAAGAAAGAGAAAGAGAGGCAGAGAGAAAGAGAAATGTACTGGAAGGTGAAAACAGATGCTGTCAAAAGCCTATATTTACAAATCACAAAGTTATTACTACTGCCTGATGATGGTGACGTGACAGAAGAATCTGAGAGCCACCTACTGCCTTAGTTCTATATTTGATTACCAAAACCCAACAAAACAACCAAAAATGACCTCTTAATAACAGTGCATTGTATAATCTCATCAACAAAAGGGTTGTTCTCTAGGCAATCAGCAAACACCTCCCATTTAGGCACCTTTGCTGATTCAAGGCATAGCAGAATTTTCTGTGGTGATTTTTCTTTATTGCTTTTTACACAAATCTAAATAACAATTGCACATTTAGAAAGTTTGTGGTGATTAAGAATAAATATGTGTGGTTTGACCAGGAGAGAGTGGGACAAGGCTCCATGAGCCCTTTGAGGGACACAAGGTCTTTAAGAGCGCAACACCACACTTCTCTCACTTTATGAGGTTGTCTTCAGCTTTTGCTATCCCAAAAGTCTTACAGGAGACAAGTCACGAGGAGAAATGCCAGGTATCAACAGCACAAAGAGAGCAGTCTGTGAGCTAGGCTCAGGGGATGACAAGCCAGCAAGCTCATTGTGGTCCTGGACTCCTGCATCAGAGAGCAGAGGCTGAGACAGAGTGGCTCCCCTCCCTGGCTGTCTGCATGCCCTTGAACGCCAGCGAGGCAGGGATATCGCAACTGTGAGGGGACAACGGGGTGCCTCCAGCATGCTGCCAGCCATGGGTTGCCATATAGCTAGATGGAGTGGCGCTGTACGTCATGTAAGGTGACACTTGGGCTGGTGTGGCATAGGGAGGCATGGCTGGTGCCGACACGAAACTGCTGACGGCTGGGAGGCCATTGGGTGCCTGAAAGGAGACAGAAGAGAAAAATATTTCTGAGAGAGTAAGACACATCAGATTTGCCCTCAGATGCTGCTGGGGCTTTGTACAAAAACTAGGGTGAGTAGGGACACTCAGAGAGCAACCCGTAACCATTCCCCTGAATTTCAGGGGCTCAGTGGCCCCTTCTGCTTTTAAGACCAGATACCGCACTGCAATCAGCACTTCACACTGCTCCCAGTAACCTGTCTCAGACAAGGATCAGCAGCAGATGTTTAAGGAACATACACTGAGAGCAGGGCAGGAACTGCCGAGACCCTTGTATGCCTGCCTATCTTTCCGCAAGCTGTTGTTCACAGACTCTTAAAAGTCCATGGTTGCATCTAATCATTATATTTCAGAGTTACTGCTGGAGGGATTTGTGATGAGTTTCTCCCTTCTCTCTCACTAAGCACCTTAATCCACTTGGCAATGAGTCCCACGGGTTAGAGTAGGTGGACTGCAATATTTACCCACTTTTCCCAAATTTTGCACAGGTAATTTTGGCCACTGTTGCAAGCCCTGTTGGATAGTTCAGTGCCAGTTTAAGCTGAGTGTGCAGTGACCACAGACAAACCAGCAGAAGAAGAAACTAACCCATCCCAGTGCCTCATCCATCCTGGAACTGAAAGAGGGTGGGTTCAGCCCTGAGCTGCCCCAGGCAGGTGCAGGCACAGATCCCAAAGCAACACTCCCTGGAGTCAAGAGGTAACAAGTAGATGGGGGAGGTGGGTACATCTTAAACTCTTGGGTAGCTAGTTGTTGTTCAGAGCATGAGGCAGAACTATAATAGTAGTATTGATGATGTCTTAAAAATATGTTTTATAGATACTTGGAATAAAAACTTTGAAATGTTCTTTGTTCATAGCTCCTCCTGGTTTCAATAGGGCTTCTGTGCAAAAAACAATTGCAGGGCTGGGTCCTTTCCTGTAAGGTATTTTCCTAGGTCCTTCCGTAGGCTGGGGAGAAGGGTTTCTATTTAAATAGAGAAGGAAGAGTCCTTCAGTCAGTCACAGTAGGATTTCACAATTAATGACTCTTTATTTAACTAAAAAGTGTATGATGGTTTATTTCACACCCTGTAAATGTTTCTTCAGCACAACAGGTACAAATGAAGATCATTTATCTTGCTTAAGTTTCAATTTGTTTAGTGTTTGTTTTAGGATTTGGGGTGGTATTTTTTGTTGCAGCAGCAACATAACTGTCATTCAAAATTCATAAACACTTTGCTGAAGCTGAACTTGCCTTATCCTTTTGAAAATCCAGATACGTCATCTGACCTTCAACTCCAATTACATGTACCCTACTGTGTCTCAGAATTTCGCTTTAGCCTCAGCTCTAAATATGAGTGTTTGCAACAATACTAATTAATATAAACCTGAAAATAATTGCACTGTAAATCAGTACAATTCTTGAATCACATGGAAAATTATTTCATTGAATTCACTGGAAAGTAAAAAATGTGACCAGCCCTAAAAAGCTACCAATCTCCAAGCTCACTGCTTCTTCCAATGTGTAAACATGAAACAAGAATGAGCACCTCTCTGGTTTTTTTTAACAAGCACCAACAAAAAGCTTTGCATAGAGGCAATAGAGCCACTAAAGCCGGTTGTAACACTGGGATATCAAGAGCCACAACCAAACATATTCTGCACAGAGAAGTACAGAAACCCTGAAGGGGTGGGTACTGGAAGGAGAAAAGACATGGGGCAAGTCCCTGAAGCCTCATAGCCATTCAGACAGCACAAACCTCCAGCCCTGGAAACTCAGAAGAGGTTTTTTGGACTCTAAGAAACTGTCCTGTTCCTCAGGCTTTCCCACTGCCAAGGAGTCTGGTACCAAGCAGTGGGCTCAAGGCTGTGTCTGGAAGCCCCATTTTAAGTAGGATTCCTCGCTATGAGTGGTCATGTCCTATGAACCTATGATTGTGCTTTTGAAAGGATTCCTCCTAGGCTGCAAAGGATGCACATGTACCTCCAGTCTCCTGTGTTGTTACTGCTGCCCTCCACCACAGAAAAGGATGGGAAAAGCCAGAACTCTGCCACAGAGAAAATTTTTCCCATATGCTGTACAGACTGCCATGCTGTAGGATGCTCTCCAACCTCTAGGCACTTCCTCTTGGAGCTGCTCTTTAGAAAAGGCAAATGCTCTAACAGACTCTCATCTGAGGAAGAACACAACTGTAAGTGCATCCTTCAAATCTGTGGATAGTCAAAATACCACTTGATGCAATCACTTTGTCAAGCACCTCTCCCCATCCCACCACCACAGGCTAGAGAAATGCAAATTTTGGTACTCAGGAAATTACTTCCTCCTGTATACAATGCTGTGTCCAGGAAAAAAAAAAAATATCCATGGAGGTGATGACTCTGTCTGTACATGTAAATAAAACAGACCAGGACAAATTCTTCGGCCCTGAAGATGAGCAGCACCATGCAACACCCAGCCCCATAGCTAAGCTCTCTTCTGCCCGAATTGAGGTGGCCTTATCCACATAGCTTGTCAGGCAGGGTCCCTGGACTGTTCCCTGACCACCCTCACAATGGGGCACTGTCTGGCTATGTGCTAGTGGGCACAGACTAAGTCTGTGCCAGGCAATGTGCCGACAAGGCATCTCTTTGCTGGTCCACCAGTGT